TGTGTGTGTGTGTGTGTGTGTGTGCACGGTGGAGACTTTCTCGGGGGGCGCTTCTCTGGAAATTCTGATTTGGTGGGTCTGGGGCAGGACCTTGGTGGAAATGTGTTCTTAACAAGGTCTCCTCGTGATTCTTATGCACAATACAGTTGAGAAACAGTGTGATTTGGCAGTTAACTATGTTAACAGACCTTCAAGTTGGAAGGTCAAGTAGGAAGGGGATACTCGTGCATCAGATGTAAAAATCTAAAAAAGGAGCCTTTGTTTCCTGAAAAACACACTGTCAGGCTTGCCTCTACAGTGATATGCCCCCAACCTTGGCCAACCAAATCCTGGAGTTCCCTCCCTGTGACACCACCCATCCTTCCATGTACCTCAGGCCGAGGACAGAAACATCTCTCTATGTCATCTTGTTTCCATGTCACTTGTCAGGGAAGAGAATAAGGTAAGGTATTTAATACTATCCCATTTCAAATAAGTAGGGACATGTGAGTGTCCTCCCCTTTGAAAGTGAGAGGTCACAGGGGATAATCACCCAACACAGACATAGGGGCCCCAGGAGGACCAGGCCCTATGGAAGGACAGATCCAAAGTGTGGAACCTCCTTAGATGCATAGCTCAAACACAAGACATGTTCTCTCAAGATGTGGCTGAAAATGTCTTCCTTCTCAGATCAACAATGGACAATTATAGAGTTTTTTCCTGCCCTCAGCCCCCGGCCCCCATAAGAGGCAAAGGAATTGAGAAAATCAACTTGAAAATCGTGGCCTGGAGTTGGCTGTCCCTCACAGATAGCTAGGACTAACACACACAGAGCCGAAGACTGTCCTCAAGCACCTGCATTGCTCGCTATGCTAGCAAACCACTCTGGGGTTCAGATGAGGCCTGGGGAGGGCATGGAACGTGGGGACCAATGTCAAGAGGAAGCATCACCTGAGGCAGAAAAGCTGGGCTGGCTTTCATGTGGGCTGTGTCCTTGAAACCAGAGCTGGGCACGGAGGCCCACCATAAAGACCCAAAGGATACTCATCTTTTTGGCCAAGGTGACCACGAGGAGGAAGAGGTTTGCCTGCCCAGAATTTTAGGCAGCAGTCACCTAAGGGTTAAAGAAAGGGGATAATGTACCCAGAGGGAGGGCCTTCCGAGGGAAATGGGAGTGCAGGGGCCAGAGGTAGAAGATGGGGAGAGGACAGCTAAGGAGAGCACCGAGACTATCTGCAAACAAGCCTTCCACACCCACCAGACTCCCTGAGCTGGGTCCCAGGCACCAAGGGCAGAGACCATCCTGGTGGGAGGGGGGTGGGAAGTGTCATGTGGGCACAAGAAGGCGAGAAGACGTGAGTACATAAAGAATCCCAAAACCGACTTACTTGATCCATCAAGTTTTACTCTCAATATGCATTGCCTCTCGAACAGTTTTTAAAAGTCTCTTTACAAGTCACCATGATCAATTTCTACTGAAGGCGAATAAAACCGGTATCTGTTCGCTAAGCAGCAATTTCGGGTAACTGAGTATTAAAAGCCTGAGCACCAGCTACTCCTTCCGGGACCTGTGAAGGTGACCCGCAATGACACCAACCAGAGCTACCTTTCAAAGAAGACACTTCCTAAAGAGAACACGTGCTTGCTGTCTCACCCCTGCACACCCTCCTCCTTCAACCCTTCCCTCGGGGTTCAGGCAGGGCCCTCCCCTGCAGGCTCCAAGCCCAGGCCCCCCCTCCTCCGCGGCCACAGCACCGGGCTCCTGGCTTCCCTCTGAGTGTGGCTCCAGAGCAGGGGGACCGACAGCAGACTGCAAGTGAGTGGTAGATCCTTCCCTCCTGAATCTGGCAGGGAGGCAGGGAGGCAGGGGGGCAGAGGAGGCTCCTCCTTAGCTGCTGGATGAAGTGGGATGGGAACGCTGGGGAAGGACAGGAGAAGAGCCTAGAAGAGCTGCTGTAGCTCAGGAGATAGTGGGGGATGGGCAGCGGCAGAGACACAGCAGGGCCCCGCTGGATGAGGAATGGGCAGGGGCACGACCTGGGGCTCAGATCTCTCAGGGATGGGGGCGTGAGGTTATCTACTGAGACCCGCAGGCTGAGGATGGGTAAACGGGGGGAGGTCAGCCTCTGGGATGGGAGTGCAGACAGCTGAGGCTCTAGCACATTTTGCAGCCTTTCTCTGTGACCTGGAAGGAAGTGTGGAGAAAGCACAGCCCCGATCGGAGTGTCAGGACACAAGTGCTCAGGCACATGAGTCTTGGGACTCTGGTTTTATAGTCTACATGACAACCTCTTAAATGTGTGTCAGTCCTATCTTCTCATTGGAGTTTTAGGAAGTTTCTTGCCAACTTCCATGTTCACTGGACTGCTCGATGTCCCCTCAAACACAGCCCAGCACAGTCTCCCCAGAACAGACTCTCCTATTTCCCATTTCTCTCCACTCCTCACGCACTGACCCACGAGCTGGACAGTGAGGGAAGCACTCGGGTCGTGTCACTGCGGTCCACTGGCCCAGCAACCCTGAGGCTGGCGACCAGACTTCCCCAGCTCGTGGGTGAGGAAGTAAAGGCACAGAGAAACAAGGCAACAAGACCACGCCACACAGCTTAGCGAGGGGGTGGATCTAGGTCAACCTTAGGTTTCTCAGACTCCGAAAACAGTGCTCTTTCTCATCTGGATCCCACCAGAGCTGCCATTAAAAAACACCCACGCAGGACCCCACACCCAGAGGGGCCGATTCAGTTCGTGGTGGGGATTAGGACCCAAGCTGGGTGATTTTCCAACCCTACCCCTCACCCCATCCCCACCCACACCCCCACAGGTGACTGTCAATGTGTAGCCGGGGCTGGGAGCCAGTATGCTAGACTCCAGGGTGGCGAGGGCCTTGCCAGAGCTGTCGTGCTGTATCCTGGTGCCCAGCACTGCGCCTGACACGTGCTAGAAGTGCAGTCAATCCTTGTTGACTGAGGGAAGGAATGCAAGCCTTGCACTCCCTACCCAGGCTGCCACAATCCTCCCTCCATCCTGACCAAACCCGAGCTCTCCACCACAGGCGTGCGCTGACTGGTGCCTGGGCCACACCTCTCCCTCCCCAGGGACATAAAAGTCATCTTCCCAGCATCGCTTTCGTCCCGCTGCCCTCTGTTCACCACCTGCTACCTGTTCTAATGCCTCAGTGCTTGCTCCGTGTTTAAGGATACAGCTGCAACCCCTTCCTTAGTCGGGTATTTAAGACCCCAACCCCCCCACCTATCCTTTCAATCGTATCTGAATCACATCACCTACAGATCCCCTGTTACGGCCTCACGGGCGGGTGTCCTCCTTGTCTCCTGAGCAAGTCTTGTGAGTTCCTGCGGCAGTGACCTCAATAATGCACTCCCCTCTCCCTCCCCGCCCCATGCCCTGCCCATGTCTGGGTCCTCCCCATCCGCCAGGACCTAACCACCCCCGCCAGGCCCTTCACCCCAGGCTCCAGGAATCCCTTCAGAATCTGAACACCTCTGCCGAGCAGCTTACTTGGCTCCATTCTCACGTGGCTTCTAACCATCACTTCCATGCGCATGTCCTAATTTTCTGACCAAACTATGGTCAGTTACTCGAGGGCAACAACTGGAGGCGAGTAATTTTACCTACCCCCCCGCCCTCCCAGTGACCCCCGCTGCACACTCTCTGTGAACGCCAGGGGGGCACTCGGCATCTCCTGCGTCGGGGCAAGCGGTCTTACCTGTAATATCTGGACTGCAAGTAGGTGGAACACACAGCCTTGGACACGTGACTGGCCGAGCCGAAGTCGATGACCTTTACTCTGTACGGCTGCCTAGAAGGATCTACCAGCATGATGTTTTCTGGTTTGAGGTCGGCATGGATGAGACCTAGGCTTTTCAGTTTCATCAGGGCTGTGGCTACCTGCTGGAGGACTGGGCGAATGTATTTGAGGGGCAAGGGGCTAAACTTGTTCTGCTTCAGAAAGTCATAGAGGTTCTGCTCCAACATCTCAAACACCAAGCACGTGTGGTTCTTGTGCTGGAAGCACTCGTAGGCGCGGACAAAGTTGTAGTCGTCGGCACTCTCTGTGCTCAAGCGGGCCAGGATGCTCACCTCGATCTGACCCTGCCGGGCATACGACGGATGGTTCTTCAGGATCTTGATGGCCACGATTTCATTGGTGCCCCGCTTCCAGCACTTGACCACTTGCCCAAACGTCCCTCGGCCCAGGAATTCTAAAACTTCGTAAGTGTTGGTCATGGAGCACAGCACCTCATGCTGGACCAGCTGGTAATCACCTTCGCTGTTGGAACCACTGTTTTTGGAGGTGGCAGTCGATGTGGTGGCGGTGGCTACAGTGGCCCCACTCGCATTATTCTGAATCATGGGTGGATGCTCTTCGATGATCTGCACGCTGCTCGTGTTCTCAATCTCCTCACTCTTACGCTTGAGTCCACATTTTTGGTAGGTATCAAGAAGGCTCACAGTGCTTCGACGCATTAGGTTATGTGGTCCGCCGAGGACTTGCCCAGTGACAGAAGTGCTACTTGCGGATGTTACAACTATGTGCCCGGTGCTTCCTGGGAAGATGATGGTCTGCTCGTAAGGTAGGCTTGGGTTTGGGATTGGCAAGGAGGTGCTGACGGTTGTAGTGGCTGGCTGAGAAGGTGGTATGTTCTTGCTCTGGCTATACACTTTGCTGTGGGAGCCGTACCCAGTCATGTCCCAGGTGGAACGCGGCTCTACTTTCAGTTTCTTCACACTACAGAAGGCACTTGATTGAAGGGTGTGAGGGGAGAAGACTTGCACATGTGAGGCCATACCTACAAGAAAAAGGAGTGAATCAAATTAAATGAATGAATTCAGCAGATTCATCTCAGTTCTGACCAGCGGCTTGGGTCCTATAGAATACTTTCCTTCCACTTCAAGGCAAGGTGGGGAAAGTGAATCTTTTCCCTCCCTCCCCCTGCCCCGGAAGCACATTCTGGCCACTCAGTTTGGGAGGCCAAGGAGGTTCTGGAGTGTTCCGCCTGCCACCATTAGGAGCGTGGAAGAATTGTAGAGTCAGTAGGGAATACAATCAAGATTCAGATACAGAATGAGCATATCAGAACTTTGTTCATTACTTATTTTTTTAGTAAATATTGTTTGTGATAGAAACAGATTCTTCAATTCTCACTGCGTTGCAATCCTACTAAAACTGAGGACCGTATCAGGTGGGCCAGTTAACTGTTACATACTAAGTTGTCCCAATGGTCTACTGCTCCTTGTCACAGACCCCAGATTAGCTTGTTTGAAGAAACAGCTTCCCACATAGGTCCAATCATGGAGCCACTCACGACTGCTAGCTTCTGGATGAACCATAATTACCCCCTGGGATCTTAGTCATCTTGAATGAATTCTGTAGGGCTGAGGAGATCAGCAGTCAGTCTGATATTTTCATTTAGATGGCCTAAATAAAACATTTTATCATTTATTTTATATGTTTTATATCATTAAAACATTTATTTATCTTGGGGGAGGAGTAGGTAGCATCATTCATGGGCTCCACTCACTAACTTTTCCTGTTAAGTTCATCTATCAATGTGTTTATCTAAAAAGTACTATTATTTCAGGCCAACATCTCAGTCAAATTGAGATAACCACAGAAATCTAGAAGACCATAACTCTGGAATAGTTGTACAATTTACAATTATGGTGATTCTAGAAGCAAAAATTCATAGGAAACTATCAAGAGAAAATAAGACAATGAGAAAGGCAAGTTCTTAAAGGTGAAAATAGAAACAAACACTGCTCATCATCTAACTGCAGCTGATGAACATTTCTCATAGAAGCACAAGGACAGCGGGGTTTTCATCAAGCTCCACTGGTGTCTAGCTGTCCTCGTGTTCATGTCTCTGACCCCTTCGCCTTACCTAGAGTGGTCATTTAACCTTTTCCTTCCCACCTGGTCCCGTCACCCTGGCCACCCTTTCTCTCCCAGCAGACACCTTCCACTTTGTCCAGGAGCCCAACGTCAGCAACCATACTTTCTACCTTTATTCTCTTCATTTCAGAACACTCCTGACTCTACGTCCACCCCCCATCCTTTCTTCCTTCTCTCCGGTCTCAGAGGAAGCTGTGTCTCTCCTTTCCAACACCAAATTTCCTCCCATTCTCATGATTCCTCCTCTCTGGTTCCTTCCACTGTCTTCTCCTTCTCTTACAGCTTTCAATTTCTGCCTGTTAATTAGATCCAAGTCCTTACTAGGTACTTAATAAAGTTTTGCCGAGCGAATCAATGACTTAATCTTTTTCTTCTGCCTTCATGTGTGTGCGGAACACACACACTCCCAACTTAAAAGCCAAGAGGAGTAACAGCCATACTCCTCCCCTTTAACTTTTTTCTTCTTCTCACCTGTAATCAGTGGTTTATGCTCCCTTTTCTTCAAGACTCATTCCTTAATCCACGGCCCCTGCCCCAGCACATCCACACACTACAGTTATGTGTTCTTAAAGGTAAACGACTTCCTAATTGCCCAACCCAAGGGACTTTTTCAGCCCCTATTCCCCCTGACCTCCCTGCAACATCTGATATGCTGACCACAACTTCCTTCTTGATGCTCTTATCTGTGCTTATGAGAATCTGTAATCTCCTCCTCCAGTGTTTGATTGCACACTGTGTGCCTCGGTGGTTCCTTTTCCTCTTCCTCCTTTAAAATGTTGGCATTTCCAACATTTTGACTCTGTTCTCTCTGGAAGACAATCATTCAAACAGTTTGAGCTGCCATGTCTATGCAGGCGACTCCCGCCTTCATGACAGGCCAGGCTCTCCCTCTTACCTTCCATGAATATATTTCTGCCTCCCGCTACATCAAAGACTATCTTCCAAAGCTGAACTCCCTTATCTTTTCCTAAAAATTTAACCATCTTGCACCCCTTTCTAGCATCCCCCTTTCTGTTCATAGAATATTCTTCTAGTCACTTGGTTCCAAAAGTGGATTTACCTTTGATGATTCTTCTTTTATCCAAGGACAAGAAGGTGCTAAGTCTTAGTAATTTCTCCTTCTTTCAAAATGTCTTTTGTATCCATCTCTTTATTTCTGTTCTTGCTGCCGCTTCCATAGTTAAAGCATTGTCTAGTAGGACTGGACCAAACACAAACATCTGGTCTACCTGAGCAGTCTTTTTTTTCCCTCTAATTTGTCCATATTCAGCAGCCAGATTAATCTTCCTAGAACATTTCTAAGCATGTTACTCCTCTGTCCAAAAACATGTTCTTTTTCTTTTTTAAAAAGATTTACTTATTTTAGAGACAGAGACAGAGAGTGAGTGTGTGTGGTAAGGGGTAGAGAGAGTCTTAAGCAGACTCCAAAGTGAGTGTGGAGCCAGACGTGGGAGTCAATCTCACAACCCTGAGATCACGACCTGAGCCAAAACCGAGTTGAATGCTCAACGAACTGTGCCACCCAGGCACCCTGTTCAAAAACTTTCAATGACTCCTTAGTGTCTACATGATAAGGTGGAGGGCTCTTTCACTTAACATCATCAGGTTCGATTTCAATTACGTTGTTGGCTTCATCACCAACTAGTAACTGTCCTCAACCTCCAACTTGAATTAAGCTGTTCTACTCACTGTTTCTAGAATGTCTCTTACACGCCCTGCCTCCACACTCTTACACCATCCCCTCATCTGGCACGCCTTCACCTTTTCTCTCAATTTATTCAAAGACAAGACAATTCAGATCCCTCCTCTTCCCAGACCTCTCCAACCCACACTGATCATTCCCACATCTCTTTCCCAATGGCACTTACCATATGTACTATTCATTTGGCCACAAATTGCACTTTTGACTTGCAAAATCTCTTTTGTCTTGTTGAACTGAATTTCTTATCTTTTGTGCTATTTCACTTTTTACACATTTAGGTCATGTTTCCATAACCAGGCTATATTTTGGGTCCAAGAGCTACAGTTTATACTTCATATTCGTGTTTTCCCCAGTATTAAACCAAGTTTATTATCCATGGTAGGCATTCAGTTGACGGAATAAAGCACTCTAACTGGCCAGGCCTCCCTGAGAGCTTAGTTCTCTGGCTACAGAGCAATGACCAGTCACAGGCACCTATGGAACCTGGCCTTCCTCTGGAGAGTAAAGAAAAACCTGCCACTATTTTCCCACCCAAACCAAGACTATTTAAAAAACCAAGGCAGGGGCTAGGCAGCTCCTGTTCTGGTGTCAGTGCTCACGTTCTGTTTGTACTTCAGCCTGGACATGCTCTGACTTCCCACAAGCAGCCTCAGCCTGACACCAGACACACGCTCTGAACCCCACCTTCACCCTGATCCCGTAGATCTGACAGAGGCTTCCCTTCTTGTTTGGATCCTGAATTCCAATATCTACCTATGCAAAATGATATCTCCATATACATCCTTCTGCCTGATGAGACTATTTTGGCTTGCTTATTCAGAATCTACACTACCTGTTTTTTCCTATTCCTCTTTTTGTTCAAGTCAACCTCCCCCCAATTCTGCAATAACACTGAATATGTTTTTTCCCATAGTTATCAGTATTAAATATTCATATTGTTTTAGATGTTGTATACAATATAGAAATAACCAATCCCTTGACTTTTAGTAACTTAACCACTGGAGGGCAAACAAATAAGCATTCCCCTTTGTCCTTTGCTACCTAGTTTGCTCCTCATTCCTCAATCCTCAAGTACTTGGGGAGGAGAGCGTTGGGTGGCAGTAGAGGAAATACGCTGAGGTTACATAAAAGAGAAGTGGCTCTTTTTTCTATTTTCACTGTTTCAAAAACATTTTGGTAGAAAGGCCAGGGTGCAGAAGTGGAATTTTACAGATGGAAAGAGGATGGCTTATGACTTACTTGTTACTGGGATGACAGCCAAGGGTCATAAAATTGTGGAAATCATCACTGGCTACCTCTGGTGATGGATGCCCAGGATCAGAGAGGAGATGTGCATGGCTAGAAATGCCCTTCACCACGCCTGCTGCCTCAGACTCAAACACCATTCCTCAGGGTTATCATGGTTCTCCAGATTTTAAAATCTTGAGCACCTAAGTACGTACTAGGCTCTGAGCTGGATGTTTTATGGACAGGGTGAGCAAACACCAGACTCTGTCTGGGACAGTCCAGAGTTACCCTTTCCAATTCATTCTCGCAAGGGTCCTACTTTGAAAGCTAGGAAGTCAAGTGATGGGTTTAGGTTCCTAAGATAAGTGGAAAAATCAAACCCTGATTTTAGAAGTTCAAATCAAGGGCGCCTGGGTGGCTCAGATGGTTAAGCGTCTGCCTTCGGCTCAGGTCATGAGCCCAGGGTCCTGGGATCGAGTCCCACATCGGGCTCCCTGCTCCTTGGGAGCCTGCTTCGCCCTCTGCCTCTCGTGCTCTCTCTCATTCTCTCTCAAATAAATAAATAAAATCTTAAAAAAAAAAAAAGATGCTGTCATGTTGATGACTCAAACGTGATCATCCTAAAATGTAATTAAGGAGAATATCTATAAACTTGGGAACTGTAAAATGCTGAACATACCAAAATAAAGAGGGATGATGTTACCACGATAAGTGGAAGTCGTCTTAGTAAAGTCTATAAATAAGTCTGAGATTTTTCATTGTTAAGGGAGAGAGAGGGTATTCGATTTCAGGGGCCTGATTCAGGTTCTTTGGAGAGAAATATCCCTAGAGAGCGTTTTCATAATTTATAGTTATCTGTAAAAACACATAATAACTTTTGCTCAAATTCTATGTTCAATAAGCAATCTGAAGTCTTCCTGGGATTCTAGAAAGGCCTCTCTGACCAAGGAGGAAATACCTAAGCCACGCCCACCCTCTCTCTATAATGATCCAGATTAATCAATCAGTCTTCTATAGGATT